GTAGAAGGGTGTGGGTATAATCAAATAACTTATACAAAGATGATGACAGTTCTTGCAAAATGAGTTCAGCTGGCTCCATGCCTATGTGTGATTTTGATTCTAACAAAGTAACAAAAAGACTTCCAAATATTAAGAAATGAAAACACTTTCTAGTTTATGCTGCATGTGAGTAACACAAATTCCACTGTGCAATTATAAGTATCTGGCAGTGGCGAAGACAAAGGACTTGCTACCAAGAATTCAGAAAAAGGGGACAAGTTCCTTACAATTTATAAAACTCATATGCTTTGGTGTGTGTATAAGTAACATCTATTTAATTTTTTTCTTGTTCCTCATGGGGTTATGTTCCTCTGACCTGCCCCTAAGCAGCCAGCCCCACTGTCATTCAAGGTCCTGCCTGAAGTAAATAGATAATAAATGTTTTTAATAATGTTTGTGTTTAGAGAATGACATTAGACACAAAATGAAAATCCTTCTTTCTGAAGAGATGAAATTTCTGCACCTGAATCATATGGCAAACCAATGCTAACTGTAAGTATAATAAGATCTCAAAGCCTGGAGCCATGAGAATAAGTAGTCTAGTCGTGAAGAGCCCCCATGGGCCATGCCATGTTCACAGGCCTTAGGACGATGGATAAAACTTGGATAAGTAGAAGAGAAGTTTCACCGGGAGGCCACAGAGTGGTAATGATTGATAATGTGTTCCAAAATTAAACTCCTGTAGGTATATCCTGGACTGCTCTCAGTCTCAACTTCCTGTATTATTACTATCCCCTCTCCTCCAGGAATAATGAGGCAGATGGATATTTGTTATAATTTTTCTGTTTGCCTTTATCTCTCTGGATTTTTTGAGGGGAATGGGAAGATAGTTTACCCGAGTCCTGCCTGGAGGCAATGATATTAGCTGGGATTTCCATCATTTTGTGAGGACAGGTACTGCAAGACAAGAAAAGATCTGCTACTAATGTGAGCTTGAGGTGACTTGCCTGGGATGGTCATATTTTATCCTTATTGTATCAGCACAATTATTAGTGCCCCCGCTGACTCACAAGTGTATCAGTTTGACAGTATATTACATCCGGCCATCCGTAACAAGACAGGCTATTCATTCTGGGATTCCTCGAGGATTCTTGACCCCCTTGCTCCTTATATTCCAAAACTGCCGTGTTAAATGATGTAGTCACCATTACGAGTGGGATCACCTATATCTCTAATTCCTTGAGAACTGTTTTTATTTGATTTTTGTTTCTATCCTTTAGCCATTTTCACTGATGTTCTCCCTCAGCCTCCTAATCTGATTTCTTCCACATCCTTTTCCATTTCTGTATTATCTTTGGCTTAGATGAAGGTCATCACAGGAATTCTTCAGCCCATGTTGCTTTTCTTCGCACATATGAATCATTAGTATTATAAAATTAAAATGAGTCATAGTTTTATCTATTGGAACTGAGGGGGTGGACACACCAGGACAATAAGGAATTCTGCTCATACATGTTGAGACTAGTAGAGTCCCTACCCTTCAAAATCCTTTACAGCTCTTTTGAGACTAGTAGAGTCCCTACCCTTCAAAATCCTTTACAGCTCTTTTAAAAATCACATTGCAGAAATGGATAAAAATGAGCTGGTTTCCCTTATCTGTGACTGTCAGAAATTAAACCTTCATGAAAAGCCTCCTAGGAGCCAATCTCATAGGAATTCAAATCTCGTTAAGTCTTCTTTTATTTTTATCTTTAATTATACTGTTAGCATTTTCCTATCATCCTCTTTGAAAAACTCACAAAAAGAAACTGCAGTTCCCACCACCCAGGGTGAAGCAGAGATTAATGCTTGGTTCTTTTATGTTTAACATTAATCCAAGATTAAAGGAGATAAAAAAAAAAAAGGAAAGAGGAAAAGATGACATAAAGCCTAAATCTGAAAAAGAGTTATCCAGAAGACCTAGAAACCCATAGACATAATGTAAATAAAAGTCATGCTAAGTTTTCTCATAGTTGTGACAGATGGAAGAGGCTGCTGATGAAAAAAGTGACCTTTAACAAAGGTGCTAAGAAAACAAAATCTCTTTCCTATGGCTATGAGATTAAGGGAATAAAGATGGGTAGTGACAAGAGAGGAAGGAGGGAAGAGGCATATCAGTTTCCACTTTAGCTATGATTTTGTGTTCCTCTAAATTCATGCAGTGAAATCTAATTCCCAAAATGATGACATTCAGAAGTGGAGGGCACTGGATAGATGATCAGGTCAGGAGAATAGGGCTTTAATCAACTTGACTAGATCCCTTAATTAAAGAGGTCCAAGAAAGTTTACCTCCGTCCTCTAGCAACAGGACATAACAAGAAGGCACCTTCTATGAAGGAGCAAGCAGGTTCTCACCACACAGAGTAGCTGATGGTCGTGCTTTTCCCAGCCTCCAAAACTGGAGAATTTCTGTTGCTCCTCAATAGGTTTCTGTTGTTCCTCAGTTACTCAGTTATTCTAAACCCAGACTAAGACAATTCTGAATCTAAAAGATGCTCGTGGTCTTTATGAAGGAAGCAAGGAAAGCACATTCTCTATCCATGAAAAGACTCTCTCTCCACCCTGCCAGACTTCAGCTGATGATGAAAGTTCTACGTGCTTCTGATTATACTGCTAGGACAAAATACCACAGGGATCATGGTGGAAGCTATAGAAATTTATTGTCTTACAGTTCTTGAAGTCAGGAGGTCCAAGATCAAGGCGGTGGTGGAATGATACAGATACTACATACTCTTACCATTGAATTTATGGCAGTGAGACACATATTTCCTGAGAAAACAAAAGAAAATAAGAACAGATGTTTTCACAGTTGAGTTCTACCAAGCATATAGTTTGCAAATTTCAAATCATCATAAACACTTCCAAATCATAAAATGAGGGACAATTTTCTAACTTATTGCATGAAGAAACCAGTCTTAGTCCATTTGTGCTGCTGTAACAAAACACTATCTGAAACTGAGTAATTTACAAAAAAGTAGGGCCAGGGAATTAGCTCAGCGGCATAAGCACCTGCCTCGCAAGCATGCAGTTGTGAGTTCGATTCCCAGTACCAAAAAAAAAAAAAAAATTTACAAAAAGTAGAAATTTATTTCTCACAGTTCTATATGCTATGATGAAAGCCACAGCAGGTTGGTGTCTGGAAAGTGCAGCCTCTGCTTCATACGTGGCCCCTGGTCATTGCATCATCTGGAGAGAACACTGTATCCTCAGACAGTGGGAAGGATGGAAGAGATGCAAGCAGTGAACTCTTGTATCGCGGCCTTTTAAAGGGTTCCTAATCCCTTTCACAAGAGTGAAGTTCTTGACTCAATCACTTCCTCAAGGTCACACCCCCCAAGAGTGTTGCACATAGATTTTGGAAGGGACACAAACACTAGCATAACCTTAATTCCAGCACCATACAAGCACACAATAGGAGATGAGGAATGCAGGCAGATTTTATTCATGCTACGGAAGTAGTATCAGAAGTCAACTTGTGTTGGTGAAAGTTCTTTGAAAAGCAAAAGTTGAGATTGGATGTTCTAGTGATGTGTTGTGAAGAATAAATGGGAAGAAGAAGGAGCTGACAGGCGAATGTTCAGACTGTCAGAAAAAATAGAAGAAAAAGAGGTGGAGTGTGGAGAAAGTTCCCGCCAAGCAAATACAGCATCCCTGAATCAGTCACATATCAGAGTTGTCTTCTGGCCTACCATCTTCCCTGTGTGCCCTCACTGGTTAGGAGGAGCCCAGGGGAAAGTGTCCTTATCAAAATGTGGCAGCGAATCCGGAGAGTGGCAGAAGGAACTGCCAGTTAACTATGGTCCCAGAAATAGGAGCTATTGGTGATATATTTTAAGTCTGTGTGCATTATAAATATATTAATATACATGTAGGGTACAGTTCAGAAATGCAAGATCATTTCAATATTCAAAATCAACAAACAGAACTTAACCCTTTAACGAGTTAAAGGAGAAAACAATATGATCAGCTTGACAGAGAAATATATTCTGTCATATTCAGTAACTAATCATTATAAAAATCTTTAGGAATATAAGATCTTTCTCAACTTGATCTGGAGTACCTATAAAGATTAATAGTAAAAATTTACAATTATAAAATAACTACTCCTGGGCTGGAGATTTAGCTCAGCGGCATGAGTGCCTGCTTGCAGTTGTGAGTTCAATCCCTGGTACTGATAAACAAATAATAATAAAAAAATAAATAAAAATAAAATAACTACTCCCTATTCTATGAAATCAATAAATATACCCACTGTTACAGTTTGGATAGAAAATATCCCTATACTCTAAAAGCCTCCTGTGAGGCTCTTTCCAAGATGGGGCTCTTGGAAGGTGATTAGATTATGGGGGTGCTTAATCTCATTGATGGATTAATCCATTAATGGGTTCACAGCTAAATGTGTAATTAGGCGATAGTCCCAGGCGAGAGATGTAGGCACATCCTTTGAGGAGTGCATTCTGTTCCCTTCCCCTTCTCTTTCTTCTGTCTTCTTTTCTCTCTGCTTCCTAGCTGCCAGGGCATGGGCTGTTTTCTTCTCCACACCCTTTCACCATGTCTCTGCCTTGGAACCAGCTAACTATGGATTTCTGAAACTCTTCATCCAAAATAACTTTTTTTCTTTAAATTGTGTGTCAATATTTTGACCCAGCAACAAAAATCTGCTAACATCCATAATTCTTATTCTATCCAAAACTATACTGTTAAGAAAAAATAAATAAAAGGCATAATAAAGAGAAACTACTAGACAGTTATGATTATGAATGACGTATTGCTTATTTGGGAAGCTCAAAGATAAACTACAGACATGGAAAAGCAAAGGGCCAACAGGAGATAAAACATTCCTTGATGATACAAGATAGGGATACTATCAAGATAAGAAAGCAAGTCTTGTTAGATGGCCTTACAATTGTATTGTCATACAATATAAAAGCATGGATCAATGCGGATATAGGTAATAAGGCCACATAGTATTCATTAAATAAGCCCAGGTACATAACAATTTTATTTATGGTTCAAGAGGCATTGTTCTAAAAGGCATTAATTAAAAAGTAATTTTATGAATAGCTCTTAAATGACACATACCACCATTGTATACACCAAGACTTTTCCAATGGCTTTCTATAATGTGACTACAATATTCTTTTTTCTGGAAATTTTTATTCTACATTTAGCACAATGTGTGCTTTCTTGAGATGATGACTGGATGATTTTAAAGTCCCTTTGATAACTTTCCAAAAATTTTACAATGCACAAATTTCATATATAATTTTCATTATGAGCAAACTTGGTTTTATATAAATACCTAGTCTTAAGCAATTCTAAGAAGCCAGCTTTATGTTGGACACTCTTAAAAGTCTTTTCCCATTTAGTGATTATTTTGCAATCCATTTTTCAATTTCAATAAAATGTAGATTATATGAATTACAGTTATATAATTGATTATATGCAGGATTTCAAGTATAGTTAGATAACTGTACATTGCCCTCACCACCTCCAGATAAATTTTCTTGTTTCCTCTGTGATTCATCAATCATAAATTGGTTTACTGTGGTTTTACTGTGTGAAAAAAGAATAGATATGTTGAATCTGTCCCCAGGTGGTAGAGAGGATGAACTGCCTATGAAACAATGCAATCTGCTCCAGGCAAAATTCATTTTAAAATGTTTCTCCCTATGGGGTTTGACAGAATTGGGCAATTTTTGTTTCAATTGCCATGAGCTTTAGCAAATCACCTGCCTGTTCTGAGTTGTCACCTTTCAAACTCATGAGTTGCCACTTGAATTCTTTTGCTTCAAACTGAGGGAAACCGTCGCAGGATGTCATTCACGTGGTTCAGTCTGTTCTACTCAAGAATTCAGTAAAGTCAGACGTAGGCTTGGTTTTCACAGCCATCAGGCAATACTTCTTGGCATGACCACACATTTCTCTTGAAAATGCCACACTAATGAGATTTTATTGTGTCTACTAAAGTCAGCCACCAAAAAAAAAAAAAAGAAAATCTTGACTTTGTGATAGAAAGGTTAATTAGAAAAACTACAAGGTAACCTATTCTAAATTAATTCTGCATCCACCTAATTTGTTGAATGGACTTTTAAAAAATAAGTCTTTGCAAATAAACCTTGGTTTATAAAATTTGAGCCTACCAGAATGTTATAAATTTGAAATTCAAATATTGATTCTTTGACTGTTTTAAAAATATGTTGTGACTGCTCCTTCTAGGGTTGGACCACTGTGGTTGGCCTGGGTAAGATGAAGCAAAGAATCTAATTAGCTCCTCAGATGACATAAAGCATTTTGAGTTTATGGTTATAAAAAATAAGTGCAGAGTGCCTTGAAGCTATGACATGGCTTAGGGATGGGAAGGTTTTCTTGAATTTACTACTTAGAATCAACAGTAGCTAAATTTCCTCTGGAAAATGAGTGTCTCTGTTATTGAGCCCATGTATAGCTTCTAGTCTCCCATCATGGCCACTCCAAAAAGAAAGCTTGCAAACGTCAAATGATTGAGTCATTTGGTCTATTTGGTTGTTCAGTGTCTGTTCGGCAGTGGGATGCTTTCTTGTATTCATGAACATGTGGTACATCTTCACATTTTATGTAGCACCTATATGCATGCACATGCCTCTCTCCCAGTCCTCTTTGAGTCGTATAGTCTAGTCTTTTCTTTCTGTGCTCTTGACTAGCCAGTCATGCTACTGATCTCAGCCTACAAGTCTGTATAGGTGACCTTGGGCTGCTGCTTCTACATCAGATGCACCACCTCGTCTTGTTCATTGGGATGCTCCTCTCCCCACCTGTCTTTTAAACAATGGCACTATGAGGTACTTTCAGATTTTACTCACAGACTGATCCATGACTGTGTACAATCCCAGCACGAACTGTCCCTTCTTTGGCTTGCAGCATGGCACTTTCCCCTTATGGTCACAGGAATGAAGTGGGGAATGGGTACTAATGTAACCATTGGCAATGACACGGGGTCCTGGGCTAACTAGTCACACAGCTGTCTTGAACTCTAGTCCTGGTGAAATTCAACTTTGGATGTCTTCACTTTTACTAGAGCCTTCAGAGCTGTTCTTCAGTGGCATGAGTCCTAGGAGTTTATGTAATATTTTTTCCAGTTATGCTTTCCATAATCACACACTGCCTCTTTTCTCAGCATGGGCTCTCTCTAACACAATAGAGTCATCAGATTTTATGGCAGTGCATCAAGGTTGCTCACTCCACAGCCTGGGTCTGCCACAGAGGCTTTCCTGCCCTGGACTCCACAGTACGCAGCCTTCTGCAGTGTGAGCTGATATATAGACCACAGCAGCATCCCTGTGTGGACTGCATTGCTCCTATAACCCAAAGAGATCTAATCAGTTGTGCTGTTCTTAGGTCAAGATATAAACACTGCTTTTCATGTTTAAGAGAATAATCAGACATTCTTCAACCAAGGAGTCTCTTCAGGTGCCCAAATAAGATCTGTCTCTGATCCTCTGGAGCATATGTTTCATACCAAAGCCAACACTACCTTGTCCTATTTAATCAGCATGATGGCATTAATGAAGCAGATATATGTGATATACCGACTATAGCATGTCTAAATTTCTTTTTTATACTCTTATTGAAAGTGGAGGAGTTAAAAGAGGCTAAAGCAGAATCCTAAATGAATATTCCTGCCCATTCCACCTGAACTCAAAGTGTTTTCTATAATAAGGAAGAAAAACACACATTTGCCAAATCTAGAGTGTCAAATCCTTTATCTGAGGCATGATCACTTTGTGCTAGCAATAATGCATGTCTAGTACAGCAGCTGAAACTGGGGCTACTCTTTGGCTGGTGTGCACAAGTCTACACTCATTTTCTTGGATTCTTCCAGGTTTTGAAAGGCTCAGATAAATGAGTTAAATGAGTTAAATACTACCAACCCTGCATTGTGCATTTTTAAATGGTAAGTGATTTCTTTGCTATCCCGTTGGGGTGCCATATTGTTTGTGATTTACCATCTTGACTGAAGGAGAAGGTAAACAAGAACTAGAGACTTGTAGTTAGTCTTACTACCATTATTGCTCCTACTCCCTGGGTCAAAGTTCCAATGTGGACATAGTACAATAAGCTTCAATAAGACCCTTAGGGATCTGGACAATGACCAAACAATGGAAAAGAAGAGCTTCTGTTTACAGTGCTACTCCAAGTGGGAGTAACCTAATGGTAAGATTGGTTCTGAGTGCATGCAAAGGGGCATCCTGAGCTATGAGAGCTTGACAGTCAATCAGCTTCACTCTCTCAAAAGCAGTTCTGAACCCCCACTGTTACCTACCAGACCCCAACAATAATTCTTATTAAATTCTTCCTTAAATGGAGCACAATCTACAAAGATTCTCCAATAAAGAAAAATGATGAGATTATTGGACAGAGCAGTCTCTGCCCCATTTTCATTCTCTCATTTTTCAGAGTAGGCCTGGTATCTATATCTGAGAAACAAAATCTGTTATGTATCCATCCAAACTTCTAACTGCTTGAAGGCATATGATATAAACTTTTGAAATTATCATTTTCAAGGGATCCTTGGGAATATGGCGGATTGATAGGTAGCAGGAGAGAGAGCTTCTCTGAGAAAAACAACTCAGATGCTAGAATTTAACACCATAGAGAAGACCAGACGAAAGGAGAGGGATTCTCACGATCTGGGAAGAAACTGAAGAAAAAGAGAAAAAAAGGAAGGAAAGAAAAATGTGGACAAAAGGCTGGAACCAGACACATTCTCACTGGAGCCAGTCCCACGCTATGTTGGGCATGTCTTGGAGTCAGACAAGTCACGGTTGTGCCGAAGTTGTGGCAGTGCCAAAATTGGGGGTTGGTGAGTCCAGGGCCCCTGGTAGTGCAATGGAGAGCAGAACCAACATGGAGAGCTACATTAACCCGTGGTGAGTGCTAGAAATTTGGTCCTGCGCAGGGGTGACCGGCTGGATGACATATTGGAGTTGGGCAGGATGGGTCTGAACCTGGAACCCCAGTGGCATCAGCTGGCAGCTGCAGGCTCAAAGAGGACTGATGGGATCTGCTTGGGCTGGGTCATGCCCCTGGTTGGGACCTGATAGCCCTGGACAAAACTATCCCAAACCAGTGACATCCACATGGCACAGACTAACGTGCTAAAGACACTCACTGGTTGACTGGCTCAGAGGAGAGGGGCCAGCCCACATCGTGCACCTCACAGATCAACAGGAACCTGGAGAGGTCAGCAATCCCCTACCTAGCACACTTCAGAAAAACTGTAAGCAATACGGAAAGGGCCTGAGACCTCCACCATACACCTGCCTGAAAGAAACCAGACACATGACAAGAGAAAGAAACAAGAAAAAGCCTCCAGCCACTGACCCAGAGAAAATAAGTCCAGGAGAGATAAATACAGAAGAGACTGAGGGCAGCAAACATTCTATATAAGACACAGCATAAAGAGATAAAGAAATACCTTTGTGACAAACTTAAAACTCAAATTCTAATTCAAGTGAGGCAAGATATAAAAAGATTAATAAAGAAATGCTAAGCACCTCTCAAGAAACAAATGGAAGAATGGAGGAACCAAGAAAAAGGAGAGAAACCTTTGATGAAGATTATAAACGAAATCTAGAATACATGAACAGATCCAAAGAGATTACCAGGAAATTAAAAAACTCCAATGAAAGATGACAAAAATGTGTGAAAGAAACTAAAGTTAGACTTTCAAAGCTTGAAGATAGATTTGCAATGTGTGATCATGAAAGGAAAGATCTCTTAAAAATGACAAGGAACCAAGAAGTAACAATACAAAGGCTAGGAGACAAGAGAATCTATAACTTAAGAATAAAAAAGGCGAGCAAAGAAGCAGGAGTAAACACAAATGAAATACAAAGGCTATTCACAGAAACATTTAAGGAAAACTTCCCAAGCATAGGAAAAGGAAATGATATTCAGATACATGAGGCATACAGATCTCCAGCCTGCTACAACCAAAACAGACCTACACCCAGACATATAATAATCAAGATTGCAGAAATTCATCACAAGAACAGAATCTTAAAAGCAGTCAGAGAAAAAAAAAAAAAACGGGTCACCTATAAAGGAAATCCATCAAAATCATGACAGACTTCTCAACACAAACCATCAAATCAAGAAGAGCTTAGAATGAAGTATTCCAAGCCCTGAAAGAAAATAACCTCCGACCCAGATTGATGTACCCTGAAAACTGTCTCTCAAAATTAATGGAGAAACAAGATGCTCCCATGACAAAGAGGCACTGGGGGGAATTCGTGACCACCAATCCAATCCTGCAAAAATTACTGAAGGACATTTTAGAGACAGAGAAAAAAATCACCAGGATTCCAGAAACAGTGGCAGAGAGGCCTTAATGAACAGGGCAGACAGTGGAATGAAGGAGAAAAGTAAGCAACCAACAGCAGAATAATAGCATAGCAGAGATGAGGCAGAGAAGACTGGCTATAATCTCCAACACAGATGGCATTGCTACACCAACAAAAAGAAACAGAGACAGAGTAGATCAGGAGATAGAGTCCATCGAGATGCTCTGAATAGGAAATATAATCTACCTGAAAGAGGGTTAATAAACCAAAATTCAAAGATGAGAAAATGATGCTCTGTGTGACAGGGAACCAGAGAGAAATAGAGACAGATTGTCTAGCAGCTACAGATAGGTTGGAAAGACATAATACATTTGTGCAGTGGAGAACTACTCAGCTAGAAGGAAGGAAAACCTTGAGGCTTTAGTAGATAAAAGAATACAGCTCAAGATCAAGCTCAGGGGTAAAAAGGTTCAGCTCCACTTAGGTAGGTAACGGGTTGTCCCCCTAATCTAAAAACTAAAGGAGTTAGTGGGACCCAAAATGTACAAAGGACCCTGAGAAAGGGAAAGGGGAGGAACTGTCTGAAAAAGGAAGGCAGAGGACATTGTTAATAGTGTATCAGGACTTGAAAAGCCACATTAGATTTATTGCTATTTAGTTTGATTTTATTCTGTTGCAGTCTGTCTACTCATACTAGATTTGAGGGCACAGACAGCTATCCCCAAAATAGCAGGATATAGTACAGCAACTATCCTTAATTTCCTATTAACTTAAACTGAAGCCCTGTATTATTTATACTGTCTTACTATGATTGATATTATTTGAATCTGGTTTGTTAGATCGCTGTTTGGTCTTGACTAATTTTATTTGAATTTGATATGCTTGATAGTATCAAGTCTAAGATCAGAGGCAGTTACTCTGAAGATGACAAGATGCAATAAGACATTCATTCTGGTTTGATTATTAACTGCTGTTGAAGTCCTATAATGTCTCCAATGTTTTGTTTTTATTAATATTGATATGTAGTGTTATGTTCAATTATATTATGCTTGATGATATAGACAATTTTATAGAAAATAACAAGAGACATCATAGTAACTACTGTAGATCACCTATATTGTGGTTTTATATGTCTTTTTCATTTTATTTTTTTCTAGGAATGTGTTTTTTTCCCTCTAATACAGGAAGGATAGGTATACAGGTAGAGATTCACTCATGTGTAGAACTTCTAAACAATTTACGAGAACAGATTATATAATGCATGATATAATGAACAGATATGCTGAAGAGACACTAAGATACCCAGTGCTAATTCTGTAGCATCATGATACAAAATCTAGCAATAGTATTCCAGTGATATTAATCTATTTTCTTTTGTTTAATTTCAACATACATAAAGATATGGACAGCTATTTTGAAGAGAATGAGAGACATTATGGCAGCCATTGTTGACTTCCCTATTGTCTGGACTTGAAGACCTAAAATGCCTTCATCGTCCTGTCCTGATCAGTTTAGTACTATTTTGTTCTGTATGAATTCACTGTGTGTGAAGATATGGACAACTATTTGGAAGAAAACAAGAGACAATATGATAGACAGTGAAGATCTCCAGTGGTCTTACTTTGAAATCTGTGTTTCTTAAATTATTTCCTTGTGGCCTGTTTTGTTATTTTTTTGTTATGTTTAATTTTACCCTCTTTAAAATAAAAAGAAAAAAGAAATTATCTCTTTCTTTTCGTGTCACTTCCCCTGAGTAACTTCCTTAGACTTCTTTATTTTCTGTTTTTACTCCACCTTAGTTTTCTCCAAAAAGACTTATTTTTGCTCTAACACATCATAGTTATCTGTTATTTCATGTTTAAGTTGGTTTACTTGATTTTCTGTGGCTAGCCATGAGAGTGTAAACTACACATGCTCACAAGCTTTCTCAATCTGGTTCATTGTCATATTTTCCCTCCACAAATCACAGTATGCACTTAATAGGTCATTACTGATAAATAAATCAAATCTTTGGCAGATCAGCTTCTCTATGCATATCTGAAAACAGTCCCTGGGGTGGGATGGGGATGGAAAAATTGTTTTCTTAGTTACATTAAAGACATCTCATTTGAGGCTTATAATCCCATTTTACAGGCAAAAGTGAGGTTTATGGAAGTTAAGGAATATTGACAAGGTCAAGAAGTCAGTGAATTATAAAGCTGAGACTTAAATCCAATTCCAAAATGTGTGTGGCCAACCACTACAGATTACATACGAAAAAGAAAACAAGCAAACTCCACCAGCAAACAATAAAGCCTAGCTTGTCAATAAGATACTGAGGAGCATTAAACGACTCAGTTTCCACACTTCTTGAATGTTATAACTCTTACCATTGTGCTGGTCACTGTTCTTGCCACTGCAACAAAATACACGACATCCACAAATTTAAAGAAGAGAGGTTTGTTTTGCCATGCAGTTCGTAGAGGTTTCAATCCACAGTCAGCCGGCACTGAGGACCAGAGGAGCAAGCAGAGAGAGCTCAGGCCACTGTATCCAGGAAGGAAAGAGCTGGGGACTCAGACAAACCCTTTAGGCCACGCCTCTGCCCCACCACTTCTTACCAGGCCCTGCCTGCTAACTGCAAGCCAGCACTAAGACTCCACAGGAAACTCACCTTAGGAATGTCCCATCTCAGAGTTCTAGAGGGTTGGGGGCTTTCAGATCTAAACCATAGCACTGTGAATCTACACATTTGCTAAGTTATAAGACAGGTGTTGTGAATAACGCTAAAGCCTTTTCTAAAAATTAATTTTCTTGGTACCCAGTTTCTCAGCTAACAACTGATTACATCCTCTTTTTGCAAAGCAATATAAAACTTTGTTCTTGTGCTACTCAAGCTACTCAGGCTGCACACAGAATGTGAGAAATCTAGAGAACCATTAAGTCATTACTAGTACCAATGAAATGCTACAGTGTCTTTTTCTGGTATTTTAAACTGTCTAGCATCTAATGATTCAAAGAGCATTTCTCTTACTTAATCCTTCTCAGAATTGTTTTCCTCAGTGGGAAGCTACTAATAACCTCCCTTGTCAGGGAAGTGAGTCTCTTCAGATACCTGTCAAATGATTTTATGTGGTTAATCTAAAACAAAGGTTAAAAAAATAGCAGAATCATTCTGGAAAGCAAACAAAAAAAAGCACTCGGCTGGCAAGATTCTAATTGTCAGAAGCACACCCAGTGCTGGCAGGAACATTAAAAAAAATAAAGCCACACAAATCGGGCACCAGCATCTAAAATCAAATGCACATCAGTTTAAAGTCTAGTCTTTGGTTAACCTGCTCAATTATGCAGCCTTCTTGCACATTTAATAAGGCTCTGAAACAGGGCCTGGAGAATGTCTACATGCAAAATATTATTTGAGAAATAGAGCTCTGTTACAAAAGCTAACTCTGATGATCCTCAAAGAGGGCTGTCAGTCCTGCTAACTTCGGACTAATCTTCTTCAAGGGGTGCTTCTCTCAGGATTGGCTTTGGGCGGGTCAGGATTGCCAGCTTCCTGAGGGGCAGGGTCTGCTTGCTTTACCAGCTGGACAAAAGCTGGCTTTTGTGAGGTCAAATTTCCCCCCCAACTTCTGCACAGAAATATCTTTGCAGGAGAAAAATGACATTTTTGGTCTTTTCAGTTTAAAAAACAAAAATGTGACTGCGGAGATGAAGGATGAGAGTGTGAGGAAATGAGGCGGAGATAAAAACTGAGGGGAAGAGAAAACTTTCAAGTGGAAGATGAGGGGAGGAGGCGAGGGACAGAGGGAAAGAAAGAGAACTGTTTTGGGGTGGAAATAAGGCTCTGTATTCTATCTGGAAAAAAATACAGTGGATTACTTTAGGACTGCTAATATCTTTGCCTAAGAACATTGTTGTAAAGTAAGTGAAAATGTGGACGAAACCACTGCCCATTCTTCAGACATAATTAGCTTCAGGAAGAACCGAGGGGCAAAAAATTCCAGAGGCCACTGTGGTGTCCAAAGAAATACTGACACCTACTGGTGGGTCCAGAAGTCACAGAATTTAATCGAGAGCCATATTTGATTGTAGGGAATTGGAAGGGTTTTAATATAGGAATGTGATTATTTCTTCTAGAGAAGAAAAACATTTGAGGATCATTTGCTTCTTGACTTCGAAGCTGTGGCTTAGGAAAGTGCTTTTCAAACTTCATTTGCACACAAATCGCCAGGGGCAGGGCCTGAGATCCCTCAGCCCTGCAAATTTGAGTAGCCAGAATCTGTGGGGTCCAGCGCCCTCTACTGGTCAGGAGCAGCCTCAATCAATGGTCCTTTGGGAGGGATTGTCAAAAACAATTTATTTTATGATACTAGAGGTTGAAACCAGGGGCACTCTACCCCTGAGCTACATCCCTAGCTCTTTTATTTTTTATTATTTTGTAGTTTTAAAACTTATTTTTAATTTTTTACGTTTGCATTAAATAATGTTTGCATTCCTTATGGGGAGTTGGTACGTGTACATAACACATCTTAATTCCATTTTTCATTCTCTTTCCCTTCCTTTCCTATCTTCTCCATCTATCTATTGATTCTCTTTTCTATTTGATATATTTTTGCAGTACATAATGTTTACTTTCCTTGTGTAGGACACGTTCTCGCTAAGCTGCCCAAGCTGGCTTCAAACTTGAGATCCTCCCAGTTTTGCCTCCCGGTGAAAGGAATTACTAGCATGTGCCATGGTGTCAGGCTGATGAGGGGATTTCTACAATGAAGTTAAGCATCCCTGAAAACGTCAGTCCTTCGAATGTACGGGTGAAATGTGTGAAGAAAAGCTGCAGAGCACGTGAATCTGCTGGACTCAGGAAACCTGAAATCTTTGTTCTCATTCCTTTCCAAGCTGTGGAGGCTGTTGGGGGGAGGGACGGCTGGATACTGAATTGAACTGTCCCATAGGAGTTTACAGAGCTAAAATCAAAAGTGAATTTGTTTTGACTTGACTTTAGGCCTTCTGCAAAATCAAGCAATGATGAACAATTGAAATCATGGAATTGGAGTCTCAGACCAGTTTGCATCTTGGTATTGCACCTTGCTGTCTGCAAGATGATATGCAACTTCCTTAATTTTTTTACGCCTTGGATTTCTCAGAGCATATTGTGAAAGTTAAAGGAGCCAATACCTATAAGACATCAACATACACACTGCTCAGCAAATGATAATATTATCATGGTTTTTAGAGAACATATCCCAGCTGTCAGTTACCTGATTTTTCAGTACAATACTATAGCTATACTGAAAGGGGAAGTATATGTTTAGAGGGCAGAATATTGAAGGGAACAAGATATCCACTAGGTGCATGGATGGGAGCAAAGTTATATAATATCCCTTGGCTTCAGGATCCATCGGCACACCAGGGAAATTAAACCTGTATGGACAGTGTGAGGATTAGAATAGTCAGACTCCTGGTATATCACCAGTCTGCAGAATTAGTAATTATTAATATCAGCAGGATATTAATAAGAACACCATGTTCTCTGACTCAGGAAACTTGGGTCCAGGAGTATCTCATTCTTCTAACTTTCCCTAGATATCCCTTTCTTTCTTTCTCTTCTTCTTCTCCTTCTCTTTGTTCTCCTTCTTCTTTTTTTTAAATTTTATTTTGAAAGTATACAACAGAACACGACAGAATAAAGCCAACTAAGATCGTACAGTGAAATTGGTACAGAACTTCACAGCAGGTTACCAGGATAACAGTAATAGATATCACAGTATATTTTGTTATCTTTATAACAGTTGTTCATTCAATCATATATATCAAAATGAGATGAAATATAGAACACTACAGAACTTATCAAAACAGAATATTGAATAGAGCAGTACCATTAATCAGAAAAGAGCAAAACAGTAATAAAAATATTTGCCTTCAAAGAGATGGTAGAAGGAAGTCCCCCTTATTTGCTACAGTCAGCCTCCCAGGAGATGCTCAGATTTCTGGTTCACATTTACTAACGTGGGATGGGGGGAAGGAGAAGGAAGATAGGGGAAGTGGGATATTTGACTCTAGGCCCTGCATCAGTAGGTTCACTATTGCTTAAGCAGGGAGGCAGGCTGGTTGTTTGGTTTCATAGTGTACTCAGTTCCAACATGGCGTGGATCTCAGGAGATGCTGCTGGTTCTCCCCCTGGACGGGCCACAGTCTGCCACAGTGCCACCCCTTACCAGGGAGGGGAGGTGCTTGCTTGGCTTCCCAGTGTCCTAAGTTCCCCCTTTTTAAAAAAGTAAACTGATAATACCCTCATGTAACAACCTATGAAATGGAGACAGGAATTGGAGTTCTAGCTGTTGGTTCCAGGATAACTGTGAGCCAGGTTTTTAGGTATTATAAACAGTTAAATGATACCTTAAGGTATCTTTACACACATGTAGTTTTAAGAAAGTTTTCTTCATGCACAGTCACAGTTATTTTGTAAAACAATGGTATAAGGTAAGTGGATGAATATACATGCACTTTTTAAAAATAGGTAAAGAAACAAAAGTTCAAAGAGATTAACCAATGTTTTTAAAACCATGAATTGGCAAATAACAAACTGAGATCTCCTCATTCTTAAAGAACTTAGGGTAGAATTCCATGGACAGAAAGCACTCTTTGAGTGAGTGGGTAAGAAGGCAGAAATCGTGTCTTCCTCTCTAAAATTGCAAAGAAAAATTGAAATAGATCATAGCCAAGAGACTTCTTTTCCTTTCAGTTGTATGTGGTCATTGCCAGAGGAAGGGAGTAAGATTTAGTGTAAGAATACGTTATATTTTCTTCTTTGGATATGTTTTTCTTTGAAAGTTGGAAATACATGCCATTCATGGAACTGCCCAATATCCAGACTAACCTTCCAATGGTACCCCAGTCTCTCTTTGAGTAAACCTCTCATAGCATGGAAGTCTTTCCAAAGAAGTTTAAGCAACTGTATCTTTTCCCTCTCCACTATAAAACAACCAGGAAAGGAGACTCTCCTTCCACTTCAACTCCAGTGGGTGTCAGGAAAGAAGAGAGATGGCTGGAGGTTTATGTTCATAGCTTCATGACTTATGGACTACATCACAATGTGATCTCTTCTCTGGCATTCTTGTGCTTCTTGGTTGTTTTGCTAGCCTGGCCCTCCAACTCCCATAACATCCCAACAAGTTCTCTGTATGTTTCAGACAGTCAGCTTTGGATTTCGTGACCTGCCAATAAGACCCTGACTAGCCAGGCTAGAGATTAGTAGACTCTTACATTTTCTCCTTAATAAGACACTGCCAATATGCTTGTTCATTACTGTGTAAAATACATGAGGCTCTAAGAAAAGCAGGAGGAGGAATTAAAAATTGGTTATCCTTCTTTAAAATAAATTTAATTTGAATATAATTTTATTCTCTGTGAGTCAAGCAATAATCTCTCTTTCTATAAAGGTACCAGCACCGGATGAAAGCTAGTTCAATAAATTTATGTATGTGACGGTGCCTTGCATCATCGTGAGCTGAGTTGAAAACTGCTGTGTGCTTTGTAAATTTAGAA